GACAAGGTGCGTTTCCTATAAGTCTTCCTACCAATATGACCAAGTTGCGAAAACAAGGTCAAAAAAATTCTATACAATGGAAGGAGACTATGACCATAAAAAAGACCACACCATCTTGGTCTTCATACTTTCAATCAATATATGGTATTATGTTCATTTCATTGAATATAGGGTAAATATATCTTATATAGCTTTCTAATAATTACAAAAGATGACTATGCTAAGAATGAGTTGGCTTTGAAACTATTATTAGACCTTGACAAATACTGGGAGTCAGCCCAGGTCATTTTGGGTGATCTGAGGAGTGATATATTAAATGACATATGCCGAATTCTGGCGGATTCAAAACTACAGGCCATTCTGGATGGGAAAGCCCCTTGGAAGAAAAGGTTGAAAGAAACCCAATGGAATTATATGGTATTATGTTCATTTCATTGAAGGAAAAAATATGAAGGCCAAGATGTTACAACCCCTATCCAATCCTAATCCAAAACACATTTTAAAATGGGGCTGTGGATTTAGCAAATAAATGTTTGCCATTTTACTCAACTACCTTATTTTTGAAATAATCACTACTTGTTATCAAATCCCGCTGAGACGACTGATAGAGCCAGGGCTAGGTCAAAGCTGCAGTTCATCATAGATGCGATACTAGCTTAATACCACAAGGCATGTATGACTCGGCCTATAACCCCATCGGGGGTGTTGGTAAAATAATGATGATTATGACGCTTATGAGTAAGCAAGGATAGAGGTCCAATTAAGTATATGGCGATTTCTCTATGATACCAATTAAAATGATACTTAGTCAAATTAATTTACTTGATTAATCTTTACTGGTACTCACATTGACAACAGAGGCTTTTTAAATAGCCGTAAATAGCCTTGATCTATCTGTTTTTCGCTTTTATCAAGTGGCATGCTGGCTTTTGACACATAAAAGCCAGCATAAATGCCATTGCTAAGCATTGCGAAAGAATACTTCAAATTCGGTTCGAATTTTCTGGCAAAAAGGTTATTTGCTGGCTTCTTATGTACTTAGTAGCTTTCCAAGAGGTAAGCCTAGCGAGTGAGGCCTAACTTGAATTGTGCTGATATGACCTGAATGAAGAAAAATGAGCCGAATCAGAGTTTTCGGATATATGCATCGAGTATAGTTGACGATATGATTCTTAAGTTTTGTTTTCGATTAGTAAAGTAGAAGGCTTATGCAATACAAATCTGTAGAAATGAAGCTGCTTATATTCATTGTCAGTAGTTTTAGTTAGCGTTAATTTGTCTTAAGAGTCAAATTTATCCTGTTGTACCTGTGGCTAGGTAACGGAGTATTAGTAGGTCGCCAGAATGCTCAAGATCCATTAACGAAGGCTGTCGGAAATTCTGATGAGACCGTGGAGAGGTTGAAGCTACAGTGCAATCTAGCCTGGATAAGATATTTTCTTAGAAAGCAAAGCTAAGTATACTTAAATGACATTGTGAGGCCGAATTATATCATTTTCGGCGTAATTCCATAATCACTCCTTATAACACTTTATTTGACCTAGGTTGGGCTAGTATATTTAAAGAAGGTAGATTTTCATGAATATGAGTCCCAGTCAATCAAGGTCACGAGTGGTGGTCAATATGATATGCTATGATTAGGTATCACAGTTTTGTTGTATTATACTTAGAATTATTACCCAAAAGGCATTATACAAGCTAGACTGGACTACCGTTTCAACCTTGCCTGTGGCTCATTAAGTCTCAGCGGGAATATAGCCCGAGTAGTTCATTAAATAAGCTTGACATATTATCACTACGCCACATCGTCACGAGAGCCCTTGGATCACTACAGGTCAGCTGTGAATTTCAAAGAAGATCAGGTCTTTCTTATAGCACATTTATAATAAAATTGTATTTTATATTTTCTAAAACTTACTTCCACCGAATATATTCAACGGGGTCAGGTGAGGCAATTACAGTCTATCTTATCAGCAATTTTACTCTAAGTCTGATATGGGAAGGGCCCAGCTTTCTTCGAAATTCGCGTTTGCCCTCTAAGCAAGGGATAATCGTGGTAGAATGGCATAGTGGTGACGTGTTAACATTACACGCTGCACTATCCGGATTGGATTTACGCTACTAATGATGATGAGACTCAGGCGAGGCTGAAACCTTAGTCAAGTACCGTCAGGATGAGAAAACCTTTTAGAAAACAAGGCCATGATAAATTTATTGGAAATGTGGGGAAATTCGCTGTCAGTCCTTTGTTATTATATGCAACTTAGAGTGGCTTGAACTAGGTTGGGTCAGTACTTATTTAAAAATTACTGATAGTTTATATGCCTACTCACATTGAATGTAAATAGCGTCCTTAATTGTATCACAAATACGACTATAAATTTGCTTTTGATGTTACATCTGTCCTGCGACGCACTAATACACATGGTTGTGTAGCAGAACGGTAGTGTGTCGCACTGATGCTGAGAAGCCAGTTCAGAGTCCAGGTAGGGGTGCTGATGAGACGGTGAGGCGAAGTCGAAACTGAAGCCCATCCTGAGTAAGAAAACCTTTTTGGAGGCGAGGCAAAGCGATGTTTAGTGTTATGCTAAGGCATACTCATTATATTGTATGCAAATTTCGTTATCATTTATAAAATTACCTTGTGTGACTTAGTTCCTAATGAGGCTATTCATATAACGCACTCGCCACAAATAGACGCTTACATGACAGCGGATAAATAAATTAGGAATAAACTCGTCGGAACGTTTGGTTGTGCTTATGTGCGGCAATTAAAATGACACAATCGTGGCTTGCTGTGACCCTCCGGCATGCAGATATTCGGTCTTACCTATCACAGTGTACAGATTGGTTGGCAAGTGGTGCAGATATACCAAGCACCGGTTTAAAGTACCGCCTGAGTTGGACGGATGAAGAAGCAACGAGGCGGCTTTGTCTCGACCACCATCGCCTTTGGCTTTCGTGATTAGGGAGCGTCGTGTCTGCTGTAGTCGAGCAAGTCGGCTCGCTGAAGTCGCCTCATTTTCGTCGTCGCCACCGCCACCAGAGCCCTCGGCCACATTGGACGCCTTTGTGGCTGCATAGGCCATGGCAATTGATCCACCGCAAGAGTCACCGCAACACTTGTCCTGGCCGGAAAGGTCCTGTAGAAGAGAGATGAGGCTGCAGATGAGTCGCGGAAGACCAAGCAGAAGGTTGAGTAAGCCGGTTAAACTAAGGCTGTTTAGGCTGAACCAAAAAAGTCTACGCATCAGGCGACGCAAAATGCTGCCATGCTGTAATGGCGACTTCGGAGCCGGCGAGGCATACCTGGCAAAGATGGATAGGGGTGAAGAAAATCAAGTCAAAGAGTATCGTCTTAGGTCAAGAAGAGGTGAAGACAAGTAGAACCCTGCAGGAAAGAATGAGGAAAATAAGAGCTAGAAGTAGAAATATGCTTAAAAAAACGTAGATATAAAGACCAAGATGTTAAGGCCTCTATTCTGATAGCAGTCTCCTTTTGATGTATAGAAGTGGTCTTTGTCATATTGTCAGGGCGATTTAGTTGGACTCATCTTGTCCGACGTCTTCTGATGTAGTAGTTGTGATAATTCATAGCATAAGACAATGGACTTGGTACAATCCAGGAAGTTTCGTCCTCAACGTCAGTGCGTCTTACCGAGGTAAAACCACTTATATACTTAAAAAAATCTATAGACAAACTGTTGGTCAGGGAATAAAGCATAATTTGACCTGAAATTTCATTTCAAAGAAAAAGTTGGTTGTATGGAATTTGTGAATTGCCTCAAAAGAAAACGAAAGTAGATTCTATCAGACCCAGAAACCATCATTAACACGAAAAGCACAAATAAACCAATTTTCGCTTTTTACGAAGGCCTTCGATACTACCAGTAGAGCTTGAATAAGAGCTGTGTCATCCTATTTCTATTAAGATAATGAAGGACACGAAATTAAATACTTCCCACAATACTTTGAATAGGCCTCACATTTCGAATGAATTTCACATTGTCGTGCTGTCGAAGAAGGTATTCTCATTTAGACTGGACTTCAGTTAAGACCTAGCCTCGGTCTCTTCAATACCCTCATCGAGACTCGAAACCGGGTTGCGATAGTGCAGCGTATAGTCTCAACACCTTAACCACTACGCCATACTGCCTCTAGTATCCTCAGGTCATAGGGAAAAAGTGAATTTCAAGAAATTTCACCTAGATTTACTCTATTTCGTGTAAGGTGATGAAATACTGATAGTTTAGTTTCCTCACGGTGGTATAAGCAGGCCTGAATTTTACAGTGAATTTTATACAGCCTCTCCTACTAAAAGGTATTCTCATCCAAGCAGTAACAGAGTACAGTTTCGG